CTTTCCCCAAGTATAGGTGGGTTGGGCCTTCCCGATCAGGCCGGGGCCCAGGCCAGAACACCTTTCTTCTTGTCGAACTTACCATCCTTTCGCAAGAATTTTCCCTTAACGGGAAAACCTTCACCAAGCGTCGAAGGTTTATACTCCTTTCGTTTATTCAAGTCCTTAGAATACAAGGTTGATTTAACTTCTTCAAAGCTCAGGGACTCCCTTTCATATAGGAGAGTTTCTTTGAAGTGAGGATGTGTTATGCGCAAAGCACACAACAACAATAACGCTTATCTTCATCATCAATCTTCACATCAATAATTTCAAGATCAAGGATCAGCTTATTGAACATATCCATCTGCTCAGCCAACACTTTGTCTTTACTCATCTTGAATGAATACAAAGCTTGCTTCAGGTAGAGTCGATTCACTGGAGATTCGGTCATGTAAAAGCTTTCAAGTTTCAACCATAACCCCGATATCGTCATCTCTTTTTATACCTGTCGGAGAATGTAACGCCCCGATTCTGATTTCCCATTTTTGTTGAGTCTTTTAATTTATTTTGATTGATTATTCTTTTAATTGTGAAATTTGAATATTAATATGTTATGTGTGCGTGTTATGTTATTTTATTATTCGGAGAGTTTTGGGGAATTAATTAGAGAGTGTTTTAGATAATCCTTAATTAGTAGATATTTGAGAGAAATAGAATGGAAAGAGTATAAGTGGAAATAGAGAGAAAAGAAAAGAGATAGAAAGAAATAGAAAGGAAAGAAGAGAAAAGATGAGGAAGAGGAGAAAATCTAGAATCATCAAGAATCAAACTTCTAAGCTTCGATTAATCGGGTAAGGGCGTGAAACTTTATCATTCTTTCGATGTGTATGATTATGTATGTTTCTATTGGTTTGATTTCGGATTGGGGAGAGTTTTGTTCATTTTCCATTTTTAGGTTGAATTTGATTTAATCGGTAGAAACCGAGTTTTAACGGTTAAAAATGAGAATAAGTGGTAAAGTTTAGTCGAGAAATGTTAGGCTAAGGCTACTAGAACGAGTTGGGATTGAATCGGGTAGATTTTGAGGAATTTCGGAGTGTTAGACAGTGGGAGTTTCTGAGTCCGCAGACCCTCGCTAGCAAGTTCGCTAGGCAAGCAGGTCGCGAGCATTCGTTGGGCATTCGCTGTGGCGAGCCAGTAGCGAACGGTCCCAGACTTGGACATAATGGTTTTGGTGTTCTTCGCTGGTAGCGAAGGAGGTGGCGAGCGTTCGCTAGGCCTTTGCTGAGCGAGTGTGATAGCGAATCAAGTCAGTGGTTTTTGTTTTCCTTCGCGAGTTTGTTCGCTTGACGAACAGGAAGCGAGCACTCGCTAGGAGCTCGCTAGGCGAGCAAGGTAGAGAGCGTGTTAGCATGTTATTTTCTTGTGTTTTCACTCCAATGTCGATTCTTCGATTCAAGTATGATTAATCCTTTCTTATTATGCATAGTTATATGTTGTGATATGAAATGCTGTGGGTAGCTGTATGGCGTGAGTCCTAGATTGTGAATCGTGAAGTATGAAATGTGGCCGTTTGGCAATTTTGTGCATTTGTTTGAATTGAATAAAAATGCATGATGAGATTGATGTGAATGTGCTTAATTGTATGTATTTGTATGATGTGAAGAATACATGAGTATGTTTGTGAACGTGTATGCATTTCAAGAGTGTATGGAGTCGTTTTGCATGTGAAGCATCATGATTGCATTCTTGTGTGTCTGATCCCGCGTAGGATCTGCAGAAACCCCGTGTGCCCTTGTGGGGTGTGAGCGATGGTTTATCTTTGATCCCTATGAGGATCTGCAGAAACGATCGTGTGCCCTTGTGGGGTGTGAGCGATAGTTTATATTGATTCCGTGGAGAATCTGCAGAACAATTGTGTGCCATTGTGGGGTGTGAGAAATCAGATTGTGTGCCCGTGTGGGGTGTGAACTATCCTGAAACATCGTGTGCCCATGTGGGGTGTGAGCGATGGGTGAACATCGTAGGCCCGACGGGGAGTTACTTCGGTAACGAGCGATGGTTCCATTTGGTTCTTCAATTGAACCTGCTGAATGAGTTGGTACCGTATTTGCATCTGCATAGAGTCGTGAGTCGGTCTCTATGAGTGCATTATTATCTTCATATGATGTATTGGTGTAATGAACATAATTGTGTATGTTTATGTGAAGTGTTGAACTAAACATAATTGTATATGCTTAGTGGTGAATGTTTGCATGGTGGATATGCTTGGTGAATTATATATGTGTTGCGATGTATATATGATTGAATCGTGATGTATTGCGGTGAGAAATGTGTTATGTGTATTCTATGTTGGTGTATATGGATATATATTATATGCATTGTTTGTTATGTTAATGTTTCTCACCCTTCTGCTGTTTTATGATGCTCTATGAGGCATTGCAGAGTAGGTTTGCTGAAGGTCTTTTGTGAAGCGTGGCTTCATTCTTTTTGGTCGGTTGGCTCTGATATGTAGCACCGGGAAGTTAGGAATTCTTTTGGTTCTTTTGTGATACATCTGTGCATGTATCTGCTGGGAATATTTTGTAAACATGACTTATGACTTGAATTAAACTGTTGATGTATACAATGTTTATATGAATGAAGTGATTCAATGTTTAGATGTTTCCGCTTTTATTCTAAATATTGATGTGTGGGTTTTAAGGACTAAGTTCCTTTGTGGTGATTTACCCTTTGTTGCATATCTTTATGAGCAAGTGTTGTATGTGTTTTGAATTTCCTGGATAATGTGACGTGCCTCTTTTATACCATGTGTTAATTTATACTTTGATAAATTTTTTTATTAAGTGCCTAAATGATTTAATTGTTTATTTGGGGGTATAGAAAGGGGGTGTTACAGAGAACCTTATCACCAAGGCTTAAAAATATTGAGATGTGGGTTTTCTCTATCATGGGCGTCTTTTTTTTTTCCTTTAATGCAGCGTCCATAACTGCCTCTCCCTTCAACGCTTGCAAACAACCCTACTGAACCAGTAAGGCTTTCATCTTCAAGCCGCCACAAATCGAAATCGTTCACTCCAGTGCATTTTTCAATCTCATACTTTGTTGAAGACATCTTTCTCCATGCTCACCGCACCAATTTGTTGTGAATTATGATGCCTTAAAACAAAATATAGTCGGTTTCTTTATGATCAACAAACACACAAGGAGTAGGGTTAAGGAAAAACAAGGAGAACAATAAGGATTGGTTATAAGTGATATTATTTACTTTCTCTATAAAACAGATTACAAGTACTCAAAAATAACAAATAACCCTCTCACCCTAATTAGGTTTGTCGCACCATACTTAAGATGAGAAACTAGTATGTTATTTATAATAAAATCTAACATACTGAACTAATGAACTTTTTAACAAATTATCCATTACAAGCTAACTTAAACAATTGGATTCTTAATATTAGGTCCAATTCGACAACTACATACTAGAACACAATTCAATTACAGCATATAGGTCTTCGACAACAGCATGTGAGCAAAACTTCGACGACATGCTAATTAGATATCGATCCAATATCACACACATACACATACACAAAAACACAAATCCACACGCGCGCGCACACACAAATATGTGTGTGTGTCATTGACAATATTAGGCATCTAAAATATACAATATAATATAAAAAATTTATTATAAGTTGGTTAGTAGATTAATGTCTTATCAATTTTATACAACATCTCGACAATATTAGGCATCTAAAATATACAATATAATATAAAAAATTTATTATAAGTTGGTTAGTAGATTAATGTCTTATCAATTTTATACAACATCTCATGTACCTGGATAAGAACAAAATATGTGTTCTCGATGAAATTGAAAGGATATCGATAAGAATGCATTAACTAATTGTTATGGTTACTGTTGGAATTGGATGAGTTAATTAATTATCATATTAAATAATATTTTATACATGTGCATTCCACCTTTCTTTTCTTCTAAATTTTTGTATTCAGTTTTGTGACTAATTAATTCAAGGAGATTAATTACATAGTCCATTTACAAGGATCTCAGATCTAATCTAACACAAAAATTATTACTGTATTTGTATCTGACAAAATCAAACTTAAGACACATAAATCTTCACCACTAGAGCAACTTCTAAAAATTGAACGAGTTCTGAACTGGTAGTTACAAACATATCTTGTAAAGAAAATTACACTTGAACATAACATCCATTTAGAATTAAAATATCTCAGACCACAAAAAAAATAAAAAAAGTTTGGAGTTTAATCAAAATTGGTCTGGTTTGTGAATTTTTTTTTTTTAAATTACCACTTTTTTGAATTTATATATCAAAATTACGATCCTTTTAAATAAATAACCAAAGTAATCATTTAAAAAAAATTAAAATAGCTAATCAAAATGACATATACCCTATAAAATTATATATAGACGTCAATTGAAATAGTACATGCTTAAAAATAAAAGTCTATCAACTTTAAATATATCTTTAAAAACTTATACCTATAGCATTTACATATGAAAAAATTTGGTAGATATAAATTTTTTAAAATAAATACATTTTTACATACGAAAAAGTCTCGCAGATATAAAATTTTCAAGATAAATAAATTTTTACTTACGTTTTTTGTTGTCACTATAAACATGCTTTATTTCAATTGACATCTATGTACAATTTTATAGCTCATGCACCAATTTAAATGATTATTCTAATTTTTTTTTAAATGTTACTTTAATAATTTATTTTAAAAAATAATTATTTTGGTATTTAAATTAAAAGGGATGGTTATTTTAAAAAAAATTCTGGTTTGTTTGTGTTCACAGTTGACGTATACGTGGACAACGTGCGTAACATATTCTAATCAATATTTTAATAAGATATTTCTAGACCAAATAATTGACGATTCATTGCGTTATTGGAAAATCTTACAGTATATAACAAGCATCGGAGTTGGGTTAAGGATCATAGCAATCAAAGCAAAGAAAGAGAAAAATGGCAGAAAATGGAGAAGTGATCGGTGTTCACAGCGTGGAGGATTGGAAGATGCATATGGAGAAAGGAAAAAGCTCCAACAAACTGGTTTGTTTGTTTGTTTATTGTTATGCTCAAACTAACTCTTTCATGTCTTGGAAACAAATTCAAAATACTGAAATAAAATGATATTGACAGATTGTTGTTGATTTTACTGCTTCTTGGTGTGGTCCATGCCGTATCATTGCACCAATTTTTGCAGACCTTGCTAAAAATATGCCACATATCATCTTCTTCAAGGTTGACGTTGATGAGTTGAAGGTGAGCCATATCTAAAGTATTAGTGTTTATTTTCTTTAACCAAGAATCCTGCAACTAATACATTGATTTCTTCAGACTGTTTCTGACGACTTGGAAATTGAAGCTATGCCAACATTCTTGTTCTTTAAAGAAGGAAAGAAAGTGGGCAAAGTTGTGGGTACTAACAAGGATGAGCTGCTAAGCACAATAGTACAGCATGGAGGACAGTCTTCTTGAAGGGTCCTATCATATAAACAAAACTTTATTTATTTCATGTCACTTTGCATTTTGATATTTTAAGTCAATAAGTTTTGTTAATTATTATCGGTGTTATGTGTCTTGTGTGTAGTGTTTTTGATGTCGGTTTTTGATAATAAATGTGAGTAGTGTGGATGATATTCTTATTTTAGATATAAGTGTGATGACTTAAATATTTATAAGTGAGAGAATTTATACATTTATTAGTGTTTAAATGACTTGGTGGTGGATGCGTGTATTTTCGATGTTGGTACTTGATAATGGTTGTCTATTTTTAATTTGGTTTGGAATTTAGAAATGTATATCATGGTTTCATATTTGAATAAATCTTTGTTTTGTTATTACTTGAATCACTTCCTCAAGGATAATTATGGGTGTTTTGGACCCACATTTTAAGGACATATTTTAATAAACAATTTATGGCAATAATTCAATATAAGTTATTTTTATTATAAAAAATAAAAAAACTTAAATTGTTTGTATATTTATTTTCGTTAGTTATTTTTAAATTTTTATAAAAATAGATTTTCAAAAATTATAAAAAATACTATAAACTTTTTTATTAAACGCTATTTATATTCCTAGATAAACTAAAAAAAACTCAATCAAAAAGATTTTTATTGGATTTTAAGGTAAATAATCCATCATATTCAAAGAATAAAAAAATATATATATCATTTTTATTTAAAGTCAAGTGTTGAAATTTGTTTGTTGGAAAGTGCATTACTAGCCTTCCTTAAATACCATACTATTTGGAAATCGAGGTTAATGATAGCTAATGGAATATTTACTCTTTTAAATTCATTGGAAATTTTTTTAATTAAGAATATAAAAAAATTACATTATTATTATTTAAAAATCAATGATGCATAGTTTCCAATCACTCATTTTCTTAAGCCTACTGGGAATAAAATGGTGAGGCATGCACACAATATATATATACACACGGAGATATTGTTATACTTAAAAACTTATTAACTAAGTTAGCATTGTTAGAATGGCAAGTTTTCGAAGTTTCTTGTTGAAGATTCTAAGGTTTTTGAGGATTTTAAATCAAACGATGATGTTATTAAGGTTTTGATTGATGAATTTGAAGATTCTAATTCCGAGTTATGTGTTTCTTATGTTCATACTTCATCAACTTTTTATCAGAAGCCAATGAATTTGAAGATAAAGATAAAGAATACGTTATCAAAATAGTACACAGTACAAAATGAAATTGTTCCCCCACTGCCTGATTTTGTGGGCAAAAGGATTGTGCTATTCTTCACACCTGTCACTATTCTATTAGTAGACAACTACATTTTCGTATTGCTGATTTGTCCTCCAACGGTTCCTTTTTCATGCTATATGTAGATGACTTGGAGACTTGAAGAAAGTTGTCGAATTTACAAGACTGTTTCTATGTGACTGGCTTCCAACTTTGTGCAAACTTTTCTTTAAGAATTTTTGTGTATTTCATTTGTGTAAAATTTGCTTGTGTAGAAGCAACTTGTAAACACACAATCTTTATTCAAATTGTTTGTTTGTAGTTCCTTGATCGACTAGTTAGATTAGTATCCTTGAGAAGATATTGGATGTTTGTCTTTGTGGTTAGTTAGTCATCCGTTGTTGTTAGAGAATTTGTAATCAGTTGATTATAGTGGATTAAGTCTTTGTGTATAAGGCGGAATCACCTTGGCGGGTGGACTGGATTAACTTTAAGTTTCAAGCGAACCAGGATAAAAATCATTGTGTCTCTCTCATTGTTCAATCTTTTGATTATTGAGTTTTTGAGTTGGTAAAAAAAAATTTGTTTTTAAAACCCGATTCAAACCCCCATTTTCTTGTGTTTTTCGCACCTTCAAGCACTTTGTAAATGTTAGCAGAACGGAGCAGATCTTAATCTGTTCCACATTAAAAGTGACTGCAGTGTGGCGTAGAACCGCAAATACTGAATTTTTAGGTCTAAAAATTAATACAAAAATTCATTTAAATGCATGTGTCAACAAAAAAAAGGGACGGAGCGTGTTAGAATTTTGGACCACAATTGTAATCTTAGATGCGTTATGACCATTATTTAATTAACCAAACTATAGTGGTCTAATTAATATTAAGTTTGTGACTAAAAACATAAATGTCATGAAAGATAAGGTTATTGTATAAATAAAATAAGTCAATATCTAATTTGATGAAAGGATAAATTTGAATATTTAAAATTAAGAAAAAAATCCTACGGTTAATTATATGGGTTATGGTCCCCATTTGTAGACATTTGTAGACATTTCCTTGCAAAAGAACTTGTCTTCAGGCTTTGTTATTTTTTACACCATGAGCATTTTCCTTCTCTGAGTTTGAAATGTCAGAAAATGCTTTCTTGCCACTAGTATTTGATCTCTTAGACGATTTGATTGCGGTCTTTTTGTCGATTTAAATATTCTTTTCCTTGGCAGAAATAATTTCCTTATTCAGAATAACAAGATTGTTCTTGGACTTGAGCAGTTTTGATGTCTGACTTAAAGAAGGTTAATCATTATTAAATGGACCATTGAGGACTTTCTTTCCATCAACTACATCAATAGGTTTTAGTGAGTTAGATAGATCACCAAATGGTGATAAAAATAATTGATTCGACCTGATCAGAAGGGAATCAATGACCTGCCACGCGTCGTTGATCTGCAAGCTGTTCACCGGAAGTAGGGAGGAGGAGGGGGTGTAACTGCAAGACACTCCGATTCCAAAGTAAGTAATGGACCAGAGTGAAAGCAAATACAGTAGAGAGATAGATAATTGAATATCTGACCCTCTAGTGAAAGAGGGTATTTATAGAGAGACCCCGGCGCAGGGCCAACGATCACTTGTGTTGGGCTGGATTGTCAGGCCCAACCCAGGTGACTGCTAGAGCTTACGTGGCGTAGTGAAGATCAGCATGTGGTCTTCGCCCTAGTTCAACCGTTCCTTGATCTCCGGAAGGTGGGTTGACCAGCTATTTCGGAGGTGGATAGTTGGCTGATAACGTGTCCCCGCGGAGGGGCACGTGGAGAACGTGTGGAAGACGTGTTGCTCTTGCACGACGGAGGGAGTGTTTGCCCGACGGAAGGAACTATGCCCGACACTGGGTGATTTGGGTCTGTTTGGGCCTTCCCCAAATGACGTTGGGCTGGGCCTGCCCGACGGATGGGTAGGCTTGGGCCCAGTCTAGAACAGGAGCCCCCTAAGTCGTAGCTCCAAAGTAAAGGAGTGAGGACTTGACGATACTGTGTCAGAGAGGAAGAAGGTGCGAGGAATAATCTTTGTGGGTATGCTGTGTCAGGGACGAGGGAGTGCGAGGATCTTGGTCTCGTCAGACCGTCCGGTAGAGGAGGGGAAGGTGGGAGCGTCCTCGTTTGTCCGTGCTCGCGGGGAGAATGAAAGGTCGCTGCCGATCATAGTGGCCACGTGTCTAACGTTCAATGGGTCCTGTAGGGCGGCTACCCTAGGGTACTCGAGTCCCTAGGAGCGCTTCGAGTCCTGCGTTGGGTGTATAAATAGGTTGGCGCCTGCCCATTTACCATTTTTTGCCTTCTTTCACTCTCGTACGTGACGTTTGAATTTCCGTACTCACATTTGTTCCCCAGCGCCACCGTAGCTTCCACCGTGTACTCCGCCGTTTCTTCCAATCCAGTAAGTTCCTTTCTTCCATTCTTTTATTTTCTTTACACTCGATGTCATCGTCGGGGGCATGATGAATGCCCCGAGGAGGGCGAGGGTTTTCCGTCGAATATGGCGGCGTATCCTTAGGTTTAGGATGAAGGCCCCGAGGACACTTGGGGCTGTAGGATAAATGTCTCGCAGACGATCGACATGATGAGGATGGGGTCCCCGGGGACATACCTTAGTTTTATATGAATACCCCGGGGACATAGGGTAGGTTTGATGCATACCCCGGGGAGGCTGAAGGGGACTGGATGAATACCCCGGGGAGGGATGCTCGGGCGGAAGTGGACACTGCGTGAGCGCGAGCTACCGCCGGGATGTGATCGCCGTCCCCGTCGCCCTTTCACTTGATATGTGGTGGAAAGGTAAATTTGATCTTGAATGTCAAATTCACCATTTCCTTCTGCTTTTCAGGTGAAGATGACCTCGTAGGTGTCAGGGACCATGGACATCGACGTGGAGCCAGAGGCTCCAGCTGCCGAGGCACGTACTTGCCCGGTCGAGGACTGGGTAGCCGAGGAACCGCTGAGTACACCTTCTTATTTTGTCGACGATGAGACTGGTGCTTACGCGACTGTTGAGGACCGGTGTGCGGAATCCCTCGTTAGTTGGCAGGTGTACCGACTGCGGGAGCACCATCGAATATGCTCGACATACGGGAAGATGAGGTTCTCGATGTACGAGTTTTGCTTCTGGGAGGCTAATTTGAGGCTGCCTTTTACAGATTTCCAGCCGGGCGTCTTCGACTAGCTGAGGTTGGCTCCAACGCAGCTGTACCCCAATACCATAGCTTTCATCCGGGCATACGAGCTCGTCTGCCGACATTTGGAGATCGGGGCCACTTTATCGCTCTTTTTTTCGCCTTTTCCACTTGCAGAGGCAAACAGTGGATGACCGGCAAGGGTGGGTCTCTCTGAAGCAGCCGAGAAGACTCTTCCAGACATACATGGATTCTATTCAGGACTTCAAGGCGTGCTTCTTTATGGTCCGGCCCGTTTCCTATGAGGCGTGCGCCTCCCTGTATCATCGAGAAGCCCGTGAGGTGAACGGGCAGCGAGAAGATGTCATGGTGCTGAGGGTGCCCTTGGAGTGGACAGAGGAGCACGTCAAGAAGGACATGGATCACTATATAGTGCGGGCGGGGACCATGGATGAGGACGACTTGGCGGGCTACCAGAAGATAGTGTCTATTGTGGCCAGCTTACCCTCGGCCAGGCTGGTGACACCCGACAGTAACTATATCCTCGACAGCCAGGGGCACGTTTTCCAACAAAGGAGGTTGATCAACACGAAGGCTCTGCTCG